AGTTTCACTAGCAGTTTGGGAGAGGTTGAATCAGATGGTAGGCCTGTATCTGTAGAATATTGCCCAGTTTCATCTGCTGAAAATATGGGAAGTTACCAGTGATTGTAAATTGGTGACTTTCAAGCTTCAGGTATCAGTAAAGGGTGACCACCGATAGAACTGGGAGAGCTTTACTGTAGCATTATGCCACTGTACCCTACCAGGGTTGGCTTAACACTTACGGTTTCAATTGCAACACATGCCATGGACCAGGTCCTCAAGTGAACAGCCTACCGTGGGAACAACAAAGCCCTACATTCGCTAACCTTGTTTCTGGGGATCAATGGACAGACAATAGCAATCTTTTGTCAGTAACGGCATTCATTATTTACACGCTGGTGGGCCGTCATGTATCTGTTGGATGGGTATGTATGTGCGTGTGTGAACCTTAATTTTGAAGTTGGAACAGTTGTAACGGTTACTTCAAAGGAGAAATGGATAGAGTGTACGCGAGCAGCTTATATAAAGATTGGTGGGAAGATATATGCCTGGATGGCATGTAGTACCCTAGTCTTCGGCAGTTTGTCTATTAATACTGATGAATGCTACTTGCATGGGCAGAGCCCATTTTTAATTCCTGGGATGGAAAATGTTAAAGCAGTGAACATGAGCACCATGTATATTATTATGAAATGCACATGTTATGAGCAAAATGTAGCTCTTCTTCTTCCAAATGTTAAGAGTGTGTGTGTTTTATGTGCGAGTTTGGAGCTGTACAAATTTACAGCAGCTGAAGTAACCCAGAATTAGCCAAAAACTGAACATGATTCACTGGGTGTGTGGACATTGGCTTGATGTTCTATTGTACAACAATGACATCCCTGGCTTCATAGTTTATTGATGGTGTTCAGTTCTTATTTATGCTGGCAGTTTCCGTGTTTTGACTTTATCCCAACTGTACCTTTCTGAAGGGATTCAAATTTTGAATTTAACCGTTTTTGTCCTATTGTTTCCAACTCCAATTAGTTGCTTCAACAACATGCAAACATAAATCTCCCCTGGCGTCGTGATTTACAGACCAGCGGTGGCTTTGTTGCACTCCCTAATAATTCAAGACCAGATGCTGTATTCTATCAATGGATTAGGAGGGCCTGGATTGACAGCCGATGGCACCCATGGGCCTGTTGCCCCAATATAGGAAAGGGAAAAAAGGGGTGGATTGCCCTCAAATCCCTTCTGTGAAGAAAAAGGCTG